TGAGGCTACGCCTGCGCAGCTGGAGTTCTCTGGTCCCACACTCTGGGTAGCACATGGGTCCCCTTGAATCACAGCTCATTTGGGCCTTCCTGTTTTCGTCTCCTCTTTGTGAACCCTTGGAGGCTTTTCCAGCCAGCAAATCAGGCAGAGTACCAGGTTTCCCTGTCCAGGGCCCAGCTCTGCATCCCACAGCTGTGTTTCTCATGGCTCTCAACACTCTGCATCCCTGGCCTAAGGACCATCCCAGAGTCCTCTCCATTATGTCCCCAGGAACATCTGACAGAAGCCATAACCCTCTAACGGGGTAGATCCAGCCTAGACTTCTGAAAAACTTCACTGTATGAAAAGACACACTTATTTGCCCAGGAGCTGGAGAGATGGTTCTGTGGTTAAGCCCTCACCAAGCAGGTATAAGGACTAGAGTTCAGATCCCCAGAACACCCAACCGCAAGTGGTGGGTGAGCATGGCAGCCTGCCTGGAATTCCACCAAGGAACTCTCCCTTGAAGGCAGGTACAGGAGAGCCACAAGAAAGCTGCCTAGGAAGATTAGCTGTGTGGGTGAGCTCTGGCTTTGGTTGAGAGACCCTGCTTCAGTTAATAATGTGAAAGAATGAGTGAGGACAGTTCGTGACCCCAACCAGGGGCACACACACCTGCCACTCACATGGAACTTGGAAAGAATGCACACCCCCAAAGCACACTTTCTTTGCCATTCTCTGACTCGCTTATGTCTTCCATGACACTCTCTCAACTCCAAGTTCTATTGTCCATCCAACCTCTTGCATTCATTCCAGAAAACACCTTTTAACCCCTATCCTGTGCCATGCATGGATGTTATGACTTAGAACAAAATCCATTGTCCATCCCCAAGAAGCTCAGCATCAAAAAGGGAGACCAACAGAGTAGACCCAGGGGAGAGCCAGGATTTTGAGGAGCCCCAGCATTGTACAATCTGGGGAACCCTCTGTAAAAAAAAGAAAGAAAGGAAGAAAGAAAGAAAGAAAGAAAGAAAGAAAGAAAGAAAGAAAGAAAGAAAGAAAGAAAGAGAGAAAGAAAGAGAAAGAAGGAAGGAAGGAAGGAAAGAAAGAAAGAAAGAAAGAAAGAGAGAAAGAGAGAAAGAGAGAAAGAGAGAAAGAGAGAAAGAGAGAAAGAGAGAAAGAGAGAAAGAGAAAAAGAGAGAAAGAGAGAAAGAGAGAAAGAAAGGAAGAAAAGCATACTGTTGCTAGGGACATTTGGCTCTTTTGAAAAAGCCCATGGAAGAGCTATGCCAGCTCTGGAGGGGGCAGGATGCGTGGCACTCCCCTCCCCCAACTATTCAGACAGGAAGGTGGGCTGACGCACTGGCTCGCTGATTAAACCATCATTATCTATACTTTCTCTTTTGGTTCCCTTTTGTCCACACTGTGAAAAAAAAAAGAAAAAAGAAAAAATCCCAGATGCCTTCTAAGGCTTAGATTGTAATTGAGATAAAGTCTGATTGTCAAGACAAACTAGAAGTTTCTGTTTCCTCTAATGGAACTGGGTGAAAAGCAGCACAGGCTGGCGTGGAGCCTGCCTGGTTTCCGGGGACCAGTTTCCATCATGTGACGCATCCACTTGTCATCCATGAAGCCATTGGTGGGCCACATTCCAGCCAACAGGAAGAGGACGAGAACAAGTGGAAAGCCCCGCCCCTTCCTACACTCCACACCCCTTCTTTGATCATACCCAAGCATCAAGATGTTGTTCCATGGCCCCACTAAGGTGTTAGGGGAAAGGGCAACTGTGGTATTTATTCTGGTGGCCGTGTGTCCCTAGGTCAGGGAGAATGCAGATGGAGAAAGGGTGTGCGGCCATTAGACATCTGTAAGGCAGCCTTTCATGTGCACTGTGTGGTTTAGGAACCACAGAGCAGAAGCCACTAGTGACTGAAGCATGGTTGTGCTGTGAGGTCCCTGTAAGCACTCTCCTGGAGTCTTTCATTCTGATGACTTTGGATCCCTGCACCTGAACCCATGTGTTGACTAAGGATGAAACCCTAGCTACCATCCAAAGGGCACTGGAGACACCAAGACAAGGCAGTACCAACTGAAAGGAAAGTACCAAAAAGGAAAGAACAGTGGTGTGTAAACCAAATTTCAAAAGTTTTCCAATTTCATATGTTACCCAGAGCCACAACAGGATGCAACCCAAGGAACTCTACAGGATTAGCCATTGAGGAGGGTGGGGTGGTTTATGTGGATTGTCAACTTGGCAGGATCTAGAATCACCTTGAAGATAAACCTCTGAGGATGTCTGTGAAGGATTATCTAGATTAGGTTAACTGAGGTGCAAAGACCTATCCCAACTGCCAGGCTGAATAAAAAGGAGAAACCAAGGTGAATAAGGGCATTGAGAACTCTGCTTCCTGACTGTGAACGGAATGTGATTTGGCTGCCTCCGGCTCCTGCCACAATGGCTTCCCTCCACGATGGACTCTTCCCTCAGACTATGAGTCTAAATAAAACCTCCCTTCCTTCTTCAAGTTGCTTTGTTGGGGAGCTTTGCATAGCAATGCACGAAGTAACTAATGCAGAGGCCAAGTCAACTTCGGTGTGATGGAAGAGACTGAGACCTGAAGACGGTGGCTTGAAAGAAGACCATAAAGACACAGTCAGCCAGCAGAAGCAGAGGGTGGTGCCAAATGGCAGATCCTTGCTTGACTCACCCCGTCATGATAATGTACAAAAAATGAGACTGAAACTAAATGACAAAAATATAGTTTCACTTCTTTAACAGAGACTAAAAGCAACAGCAACTTAACCAAGTTGAAGTTTATTGCTCTTTCCTGCAAGAATCTAAAGGTACAAAATACCTTTGGGGCGGGGAGGGGTGGTGTATAACACTGGCGATCCGGGTTCCCTCCATGTTACCACTCAGCCATCCTCAGTGTATGACTTCTATCACATGCCCAAGATGACTGCTGCTGCTCAAGTTACCACGTCCACATCACAGCTGTAAGAAAGAAGGAAAGGGGAAAGGAAGGTCTCTTCACCTTCAGGGACCACCAAGAGGCGACTCACACCACATCTGCTTGATTTTCATTGGCTAGAACTTAGAGTTCATCATATCCGCTTGGAAAGGACACTAGACAAAAAGCATCTGTATCTTGGAGATCGGGTGCTCAGCTTCAACTAAAGGGTCCTGTTGCTAAAAGGAGTGGGGACAGCCAGCAGTCAGAGCCTCAGGAGACCTAAGACAAAGGAACAAGACACACTTCGGCCTCTGCTACAGCTGGAGGGAGAGAGGGGTCCAGTAAGCTGGAAAATGTGTAGAACATAGGGACATCTTCCTGGTCCACCTTGTTTTCTCTGCAACATGGGCCTGAGCTTCATTACTGGGAGGTTGTGCTCTTCAAGGGTGAAGAGGAAAGAAGACTTGCCAAGGCTTGCTTACTTACAACCCTCGTGGTGAGAAGAAAGTCTGCACCCACAGAGACCTGAGCTGGATAGCAACTGAGCTGGCCTTTGGGTCAGGGCTTTAGTGTAGGCACTCTGCTCAGATGCACTAATTTCAGATAAAGACAACTCAGTTTCCACATCTGTAGAGACCATATGTGTAGCTTGGATGCCTTGTTCCTGAGGGTACATTTGATACAGGTGGTACAAATGTGAATGGCCTACACCATAGAAGAGATGGTGTTTTCAAAGCTGAGATGCAAAGGGCAAGGGACATGGGAAAGGAGATGGTACCCCTGAGGTTCAGCCCTGTTCTTGTCACGGACCCACCCAGGCTACCGATACACTCAGCACTTTTGGGGTTCTACCTGCCTCTGGTCCAGCATTAGAGTGTGCCACTGTCAACGTGAGAGAAGCAGGAGAGAGGGCCACTCTAGACAAGCAGCACCCTGTGGCCAGCTGGAAGGGGCACTCCACCCTGTTGTCCACGGACACTGAGATTCAGCTTCTGCAGTGTCTTGATGTTACTGCCACAGAGCCTTGATCTTGTACCCTGCCCTTGGTCTTGGCAGCTCTCTTGAGACTTCTTCCTTACCTCAAGACACTACCCTGTGGTCCTGGCCTCAACCTTGTAAACAGGGCAAGTTTCTCCCCCAAGCTTCTAAACTACAAAGCCAGCCTGCCGATTGCATACATACACACACTCATACACAGTACTATATGCACATCAGGTATAAACACAATATATACACAGCAAATACCAATGAATGTACAAAAACACACCATACATGTAGCATCCACTAAATACATACAAACAACATGAACATGCTCAAGCTCACGTGCGCATACACATACATACCACTTTTTTTCAAACTGGTTTCTCAGTTGCCCATCACACTCTCCCATTCAACTCCTTACATAACTGAGTGATTGTTCTGAAAACACAAATTAAAGCACTTGCTTGTTTGAATGCCAGTCTCTTCCTGTGGCTTCTGGACCTTCTGGCTGAACCCTGAGCATCTGATCAGAGCTAGCAGGACCCTTCATGGGCTGTCCCCTACAACGCCATCCAGCCATTGTCCCCACTTACCTATCCCCAGCAGCCAGGTGACCAACCAGTCTTCCAAGAGGCTCTGAGGTTCCTTTTGGCTGTTCCCAGCCCCACATCACCAGTCACACATCCAGAATGTATATTCACAGTCCAGGCATGGTGGTGCATACCTTTAACCTAGCACTCAAGAGGTCTCAGAGGCTGGAGGATCTCCAGAATTGGAGGCCAACCTGATCAATGTAGGGAGCTCTAGGACTATAAGAGAGACCCTGTCTCCAAACAAAAGTATTATCATTCTGAACCCCTTAGGAGCTCACCTGTTCTCTAAAGGGCCCCTGACTTCCCAGCTGGAACCAGTCCCTTCCTCTTCTGTTCCTTGGGAAGGTAGGTGGTAGGACTGTTCACCTCCCGCATCTGTGTCCCTGCAAGACAGGTGACCTTCTCTTTGGTGGAGTACCCCGTCCTGGTCTGGGCAGGTGTGCAGTGGAGACTGGGTGGATGGCCACACTCACATGTCCTCCTTACCCCACAGATCAAAGTAGAAAACCAGCATGACTACCAGGACATCACCAGTGTGGTGGCCATGGCCAAAACCTATGCCACCACCGAAGCCTTTATAGACTCCAAGTATGACATTAGAATCCAGAAGATTGGATCCAACTACAAGGCATACATGTGAGTCGGTGGGCAGGAGCTGGGAGGAAGGTGGGAGGCGCCTGCTTCCTTCTACCGTGATGCTTTGTTTGTCCTCACCTCTGGTTCTGTTGCAGCTTAGCCCAGGATAGACTTCTCTACAAAGGAGTGTGTGTGTGTGTGTGTGTGTGTGTGTGTGTGTGTGTGTGTGTCTGTGTGTGTGTCTTTGTGTGTCTATGTGTGTAGAGATTTGTGCAAATCAAGGAGTCATTTGAGTACCTTGCTGAGGGGTTGGAATTTTCTTTGGTGTGAAGGAGAAAGCTGGCCCAGTGTGTGTGGAACAGCAATCTGTTGTTCTCTGGAACCAACAAGACTCACTAAGTAGTCACATCAAATTCTCTGGTTGCAAGCAACAGAAACTACTTCTGGATATTACATGTTTTATTTTTAAGGAAATTTGTTAGAAAATCATGGGTAATCGGAAATTTTAAAAACAAACCAAAATCCCACTAAATTACTGATTTCAGAAGCAATGGGATTCAGGGCAGCCCCAGTGTAGAAGTAATATCTGACATTCGTGGTGCCAACAGGTGAAGAATCCACTGGGGTCTTGTGCAGCACTTATCTCAGAGTGTGCTCTGTCGCTAGCATTTTGGTTAGAGAGAGGCAGAAAATCACTATGGGAAGTCCAAGCAGCAGGACAGGCGATTTGAGCAAGATCATGGCCTGGCAGAAGTGGAGGTGCTGCCTCTAAAGGAAGAGCTATGAATGCCAGGTGAAAAGGGCAGTCCCCTGCCTCTGCTTCAAGGTGAGTCAGCAAAGGATGGGCTCATCTGGGACTGAGGTCATCAGTTTCAGTGGGACTTTGGAGTAGGTGGAAAGGCTCTCCCTTGAAAAGCCCTTACCTGCGTCTGGGTCTCTGTGACCCTCACTTTGGAATGTTGTTACTGGTTCCACTTCAAATGGTGAGACCCGAGAGCCAAGTGTGGCTTTCTTGTAGCATTCATGCAGCCCTGTGGGCACATGTGAAGCATGTGGCAACAGCTTCCTATCAAGAAGCTGCTGTGACTAGCCATGGACAGTTGGACAGTCTGTCTGTCCATGTGCTTCTGTGCTTCATGGTTTTTGCCTGAGAATCCTGTGGGCAAGCCAAGCTGTCACCTGCTTCTGTAAAGATGTCAAGCCAATCAAATCTGTGCCTAGTTGTGAATGCATTGTCTGCCATGACTTTTTACCACCTGGATTGCCTAGACCATAAGGAAAACACATCTTTGTGTAAAGGGCCAGGTAGAGACCAGGGAGATAGCTCAGTTGGTAAGGTGCAATCATAGGGACCTGAGTTCGATTCCCAGCATCCATGGAGAAAGATGTGATGGTGCATATTTATAATCCCAGCCCCAGGGAAAATTCCTGCAGCTCAGTGCCCAACCAGTCTAACATAATTAGCAAGCCCCAGGTCACAGTGAGAGGCCAGTGGTTCCTGATGAACAACACCCAAGATTGACCTCTGGTTTCTCACTCACTCACCTACTGTGTGTGTGTGTGTGTGTGTGTGTGTGTGTGTGTGTGTGTGTGTGTGTGTGTGTGTGTGTGTGTGATTTTAAATAGATCTAGGAGAGGTTCAATGAATAAAGCATTTGATTTGCAAGCACAAAAACCTGAGTTCCATCCCCAAATCCCACATGAAAGTACCAGGTATGAGGTTGGGCATGATGGTGAACACCATTATCTCCAGTACTTGGGAGGGAGGTGGATCTCTGTGAGTTGGAGGCCAGCCTGGTCTACATAGTGAGTTCCAAGATGTTCAGAGTTAGTGAGGCCCTGTCTCAAAAGACAAAACAAAAATAGAACTAACAGGTAGAGTCATATGCTCTTGTAATCCAAGCACTAGGTAAGCAGACAGGGGGCTCTCTGGGGCTCCCTGACAGGTCAGTCTATTCTAACTGGTGACTTCCAGGCCAATGATAGACCTTGTTGCAAAGGAGGTAGATGACATTCTGAGGATGATACCCAGCTTTTCCTCCAGCCTCAACAGGTTCACACACAACACACACACACACACACACACACACACACACACACACACACACACACAATAAAGGGTTAGGGTGGTTTTAGGCTTTGAGACCCATGCAGTTGGTTGCAACTGTACAATTGCCTGGGACACTGGAAGAGATGCAGGCAGTTGACCAATAAGGACATAGTCCCAGGAAAGAGATAAAGCCAGTTTCCAAGTCCATCCTGTCAGTCAAACACCCCCTTCTTCCCCCAGGGCAGGCCAGGGCTGTTTCTGCTTTCAGATGTCCTCTCACAGTGTCTCAGGGATCAGATCTCCCCCTCACCCCGGCACCCTGAATCATCTGGGCTCATCCCAGTGAGGTGGTCCGGTGCATTCTTGCGGCACCATGGTATCATTTCCTTCCTCCCACATTGTTAGAATTTGCATTTGACATTGGTGTCACCTTGGCCCAGTTTCTTTTCCGAGGATTACCTCATTGCTGCATTCTTCAGGCTGAGCCCTTCCGGCCTGACAGCTCCAATTTGTCAATGGTTACAGAGATTCCTGGACCCTGGGTTGGTCCACATCCAAGGGCTGGGGATCATACCACACTTGAGCTGAGAATGTCCTCTGTGCCCATAACCATCCACCCTCCTCTGGCCCACATTCCGTTCTGCACTTAGACCTTTCGCTTGCTGCCACTGAGGTATCACTGCTTTTAGATTCTCGTAACATACACAGCCAGGGCATATATGTGCATATTTGCCCACTCGTACACATGCATCCATAATGATTTCTCTGTATATCCATCTGCATGTGCATTACTCTAAATGGAGTCACACTGCTGTCTGGACTTTTGTCCAGTACCATGTGGTTCAATTTTGCCTTCCCTGACTGCTTGTCTGTACCTCCTACGCCAGTCAGGAGAAAGCTGGCTTCCACCATCCACCACTCACTGAGCTGTCACTTGACCCCCATCCGTTCAGCCTGTGCCTGACACAGTGGGAAGCAGGTCTACCAAGCACAGCACATGCTTATAGAAAGTATCGTTACATTCGGTCTTCACTCTTGTCCCAAGTTTCTCAGGCCAGAAACGTTCCCTCCACCTCCAAGGTTGTACATTTGGTCTTATATACCCCCACCCCAAATTCATATTGAAAGTCCACCACCTCTCAAGTGATAATCTTAGGAAGAGGGGAGAACCTTCCAGAAAGCAATCAGTGCTTGTTCTAGTTCCATCCTGTTACTGTGTTAAAACACTCTGAACAAAAGCAACTTAAGTGGGAAAGAATTTATTTTGACTTCCATCCCTTCACTGAGGGAAGTCAGGGCAGGAACTCAAGTAGGAATCTGAAGCAGAGACCATGGAAAAATGCTGTTTGCTGGCTGACCTATAGACCCATGCTTAGTTAGCTTTCTAATACAGCCAAGGACCACCTCTCTAGGGAATGGTGCCACCCACAGTGGGCTGGGCCCTCCTACATCAGTTCACAATAAGACAATCCCCACAGACACGCTCACAGGCCAATCTGGTTTGGTCAGTCTCTCAACTGAAATGCCTTTCTCAGATTTGATTTGATTCTAAGCTATATCAAGTTAACAGTTAAGGGAGTTAAAAAAAAAAAAAAAAAGAACTCAAAGGGATCCCTTGCTTCATCCACTGCATGAAAACACAGTAAGAAGGCATAGACTGCCGGGCGGTGGTGGCGCACGCCTTTGATCCCAGCTCTCGGGAGGCAGAGCCAGGCAGATCTCTGTGAGTTCAAGGCCAGCCTGGGCTGCCAAGTGAGTTCCAGGAAAGGTGCAAAGCTACACAGAGAAACCCTGTCTTGAAAAACCAAAAAAAAAAAAAAAAAAAGAAGAAGAAGGCACAGACTAAGAAATGGGTCCTCGCTAAACATGAATCTTTAGGCAACTTGAGCTTGGACTTCCAAGTCTCCAGAACCATCAGAATGAGTTGTTGTTTATAAATCACACCGTTAATGGTCCTCTCTTACATCAGCCCAGATAAATAAAAGTGATTATAGTATAGACAGATGCTTTGACCACAATATCCATTCCATCCTATATCCCTCTGGTAGCATCTCATTCAGGTCAACGGCACAGGCCCTTCCATACGTGTGTGATGGGCTCCATGAGCTCTGTACAGAGAGTCAAGGGTTTGTGGAGTATAGTTTGGGGGCATCTGCCATTCAGAGAGAAGGATAACACTGGTGCCATCTCCTTCAGTTCTGTGGGGCTGACACAAGCTGATGCAAGCTCTTGGACACACATTTCAGATGCCCAAAGCTGTCCTCCGGTACCAGCCCTCCCAGTATCGTCCTCTTGGAACGAGAGCAATCTGGCTTGAGTTCCTGCTGCTTCAGCCCTTGGAATGCCTTCTTATTTTTTATCTTCTCCTGCCGAAAATAACAGTGCAGCCCATTTGTGCTGAGGGGTTGATGGGAATATTTCCTCTCACTCACACAGGACCCCACTAAGGTCTACAATTATCCCCATTTTGCCAAGGAAGAAGTTAAAGACTCGGAGATGCTGCCCATGGTCTATTACTAGACAATGCTAGAACCACAGTGTCCATGAGTCCTTCTCTTCTCCCACCACCAACTCACTATGCCAAATGCTGTTCATCTGCAAGGGTGCATCTCAGTGGATACACTCTGGGGCCACATCCAGTGACCCTGGGAATCCTTTGGCTTCCCTGGAGTCCATATCCATTGCTAATTTACCATGTCAGTCTTATGGCTCAAAGGTAGTGAAGGCAGGAAGTGAACAGCCGAAGGAGGGTGCAGCTTTCCACTCTTAGACTAATCCGTAGCCAGATGTAGGCTGACCCTGCGAACATTGTTGTCATAGTTTCTGTCAACCTGACACAAACCGAGGCACAGCTGAGAAGAGGGACCCTGTGGGGGAATCGCCTCCATCAGAAGGGCCGTGTTGCTGTGTCTGTGGGGCATTTTCTTGATTACTAATTGGTGGAGGAGGACCCAACCTACTGCAGGTGGTGCCATCTCTGGGCAGATGGGCCTGGGCTGTAGAAGAAAGGTAACTGAAGAGCAGCATCCTGTGATCTCTGTCTCAGTTCCTGCTCCCAGCTTCCTGCTTAAGATCCTGCCCTGGCTTTCCTCAGAGATGGGCTGTGTCTTGGTGACTGTTTTGTTGCTGTGAAGAGACGCCATGATGAAGGCACTTACAAAATAGAGCATTTAATTGGGGGCTGGATTCCAGGGGTCCAAATGTGTCCCTGGTTCTCCCCAGCATACATCATCCCCTCACTGCGTCAGTAGCTACTGGGCACCTACTGCATGTTGAGTCCCATTGGAATTGTGTGCCCAGGGGATGGAGCGAAGCATGTTCCCTGTTTTTAGGGCTTCTCCTCCATCAGGACAGGTTAGATGAGCACTCCTGAGCACAGTGCCAAGGAGAAGGGGGAAGAGGGAAGCAGGGCAGGGCAGTCCGTGTGAGTCTAGGAAGGTGTGCTGCACCGGAGCCACATTCAAATGAAGCCTGAAAGATGAGCAAGGACCTGGGAAGGAAAGGTGGTGACATAGGCTGCCAGGGGCAAAGGGGAAAGTGAGTGTGTGGGACAGGAGCCATGCGTGGGCGAGCACCAAGAAGGGGGACAGCCGTGGCTGCAAGGCAGGCAGAGGTCACAAAGCCTTCCCAACTCTTCACCATGGGAAAGTAATCACTTCCTCCCTAAGATCATTTTTTCCTATATTTTAAAACATGTAAAAAAAATTCCAGAATCACCAAGTGGTACACTGCCCTAGTTCTCCTCAAAAAAAAAAAAAAAAAAAAAAAAAAAAAAAAAAAAAAAAAAAAAAAAAAGCAAGAGGTCACGCATATGCATTTTTCCATTACTATAACAAAATACTTGAGACAATCAACTTAAAAAGAAGAAAGGTTTGTTCAGACTCACAGTTCTACAGGTTTTAGCTCATGGTTACTTGTCCCTATTGCTTTGAGCCTGTGGTAATACAGTCATGGAGGCTACTCACCTCATGGTGGCCAGGAAGCCAAGAAAGAGGCAAGAAGGACTTGGGTCCCTTCATGACCCCCAAGACCTAACTTCCTCCCCCGACCCCATCACTAGCTAAAGGTCCCCACACCTCCCAATAGCACCATCAGATGCTAAGGTCAAGCCTTAGCATGTGGGATCTGGAGTGGGGACACTGTAGGACCAAAGCTTGTGCCATTTTATCTGAGGTGACAGTCTTTTAAATTTTTTATTTTAATCTGGGGGCTGGAAACATGGCTCAGCAGTAAGAGCATTTTATTGCTCTTGCTGAGGACCAGGGTTTGGTTCCCAGCATCCAGATGGCAGTTAATGGGCTTCTGTCACTCCAGTTTCTGTGCATCTGATGCCCTCTTCTGGACTCTGTGGGCATCACACTCACATGTGTATATGGGCCAGATGTTTGAAACATCTCCTAACCACCAAAGTGAAGAAGGACAGCAGATGAGTGACAGACATCCCCAGTGACCTCAGTGTACGGTTTGTTCTAACCCAGGAGAACCTCCATCTCTGGAAACTGGAAGGCCAACACGGGCTCTGCCATGCTGGAGCAGGTGGCCATGACAGAGAGGTAAGAGACAAAGGGCGTGTGGCGAGAGGCACCAGCATCCACGAGAAAGGCACTCCAGCCACTTCCCTTTTGCTCTTCTCGATGGTCAGCAGCAACAGCAGGGCACCTGTCAAAATAACATTTGCAGATGGTACGAGTTCCGAGGAGGGAAGTGGTTTGCCCCGCGCTCTGGAGGTAACAGTGGAACACTGAGGCATTGGCTTCAAGTCCAGGGATCTTCTGGGTTCTGCCCTGCAGCCTCAGTAAGAGAGATTGAAGCCTTCACCAGTCCCCAGTCATTTGCAGATAACTGGGAGAAAGCATGTTTATTACAACATCATAAAAATGGAGATGGGCCTTCCTCAGACCATATGAAGAGAGAAAAGCCACTTAAATTGTGAGTGCTTTGGGGTGCACTGTGGCTGAGGGACCTACAGGTCTCTGTCCTCTTAAGCACTGCTGTGTGGCCTCCTCAGCTGAGGGAGGGCTGAGCACCTGCTCTCCATACAAGTCACACACACACCTTCCCTGGGAAACACTAGAGCCTGCTGCATGCCACAGTGTGCTGAGCAGTAAAGAGGCCAAGGCAAAGGGCACTGATTCTCTCCTCTAAGAACTGCGGGTCAGCAGCAAGCACCAGAACAGAGCGTATTAGTCTGCGCTTTGGGAATTAGCCTTTGTTGATGAAAACTTGAGAGGCATGCTTTCAGGAGAGGCCTAAGACCCCACCTCTACCCGCTCCATTGAAATCATTTCTTTCATGGCTGTGTTGGATCACACTTTCTCCAACAACGGTTCACAGCATCACCGGGCTTAAAGCCTCAGTGTCAAGTCTGACAGAAAGAAAGCATCTTTCCCCTTCATTTATCCAAAAGCCTGGAATAGAACCTTATTGGCTGCTTAGCCGGGATTTGGGTCATATGATCGCCCCTAAGCCAATCATTGGCTGAGAAGGCTGCAGGTCCGTATTTGACAAAACCTATGGCCAGTTTCTACTCTAAAGGTTGGAGTGGGGCCAACCTCTGCAGCAACCGTGGCTGAGACCCGGGAAGGGAGGTAACACTGCATACTGAGCAGTCTTCAGTAGGAGGGAAAGTGACGGCCCCACTGCGCTAACGACAGCCATCTTTCCCCACTTGTCTGAGGGATGGCACAGTTGTAGCTGAATGCAGTAAAGCTAGGACAGCGTGCCCTCAACCCTTGAGGCAGGAAGGAGAAGGGGCACCCAGTGAAATTTAGGGAAGGAGAGGCTGGGAGTGGTTCCTGAGGGAATGGGTGTCAGCATTTCATCCTAAAGAATGGGCGAGAACCTGAAGGAGCCAGCTCTCCTTTGGTCTCTACAACTATGCCACAGGCACTCACTGCAGGCTGGTCTTAGAGCTGCGCCTTGGAGAAAGTGGTGGGGAAGAGAGACATCAGCCCTGGCCCTGTGAACTCCCAGCTCAGGGTCCATAAGCTCAGAAAGCCAGACGAGCCGAGGTGAATGCCCCCGCCCCTTCTAGATAAGCTAAGAGACAGTTCTGAACTTCTTCAACTAGAAGATGAAAGCAAGTTTGCATGCCATAAGAAAGGCTAGCCACAGCACAGGCCCTGCCAGGGTGGAAGGCTAACCCCAGCACAGATCCCTGCCAGGGTGGAAGGCTAACCCCAGCACAGGCCCTGCCAGGGTGGAAGGCTAACCCCAGCACAGGCCCTGCCAGGGTGGAAGGCTAACCCCAGCACAGGCCCCTGCCAGGGTGGAAGGCTAACCCCAGCACAGGCCCTGCCAAGGTGGAAGGCTAACCCCAGCACAGGTCCCTGCCAAGGTGGGTACCTGCCCTTCTCAGTCCTAGCCCAGCTGCTCCTGCAGCTTCCATCTGGGAACTCCCTTGTACTGGCTGGTCTTGTGGGGTGTACCAAGTACCAGGAACACCCCTCCCACGGGGCGTACTCATGGACAGCCGGTGCCTTCTTCTTCATGTCTTTCCCAGGAAGTCTTACCTCTCCTCAGAAGTTTATGGTGGAGATCTACAGCACACCACCATCCACAGGGGTGACTCCACAGGAACATTCACAGGACAGGGTGTGCTCAACCTAGCATGTACTGTCCCTCAGACAGTCGTGAGCTGTGCTCATGGCCTGGACAGAACCCCCGGTTCCATTCCTATAGTCCCAAAGCCCCTGGAGTCCCTTAAGCAGGCCAAGGCCCTGTGTGGTTCACCTCTTGTGGGGTAGCTTGACTCCTGAGCGATTTTCATTCAGTTTGCTTAGTGCTAGTCTACCTGGTTGAAGGGGGACCTTTCCCATATTTCCTGGCCCCTGGGGCCCCTGCACCTGGGATAATGCACACACATGACCTAGATGTTCATCATTTGAAAACAGTCCCTGGAAACCAGTTGCCTCCAGTCCTAAGTCTAGACTTCTATCTCTCAATGGAAGAGCCTGACTCATGAGTGTGTCTCAGGCATCGTGTTCCTTGAGCACGTTGTGTCCCATGAGTCAGCCACCAGCGTCAAATACAGTAGCTCTAACACCTGGCCCCCAGAAGCCTCTCAAAGCCCCAAGGATCAACATTGTCACCAAATGTGGCTGCACATGGGTCAGAGCATTGTATGAAGCATTGAAAATAGGCAGAGGCTTCCCAATGACACCGGGTAGAGCCCAGAAGCTGGCCGTTTGTAGGTACATGGCCTCTGCTATCCTTGTGAGTCCCAAGAACAAGAAGCATCAAATAAAGGAAACTGAGGCACCAGGAAGGAGAGGCTCATCCAAAATCACTAAGGAAATAGCAAACATCCAGATCACAGGCCAGGGAGACAGATCGGTTCATAAAGCACTTACCACACAAGCATGAGGGCGTAGGTTCGATCCCCAGATCACACATGAAAAAGCCAGGCAGGTATGGAAGCATGCAGCTGTGATCCCAGCCCTGGGGAGAAAGAGACAGGAGGATCCTAGGGCTCGCTCGCCCGCACATTCCACATTCAGTGGAAACCTTGTCTCAAAAATCAAGGTAGAAGGCTCCTGAGAAACAGCACCCAAGGTCCACTCTGGACCTGCCACTCACGAGGGTATACATGTGCTCCTACCCAACATGTTTGCTTAAACCTGGACACAGATTGGAAGCCAGCCTGTTAGTTATTACTCTCTCAGCCTCGGCTTCTTCATCTGAAAAACTAAACTCAACCCTCCCTCCTTGATCAGTGGTGCTGGGATGAGAAGGAATGAGGAGCTAGCCTGCCGGGCACAGAATGGGTCTTCGTCCTGCCTTCTACTCCCAGCATGCTCCTGGCTGCAGCGGGATGAGAGACGGAGGTTGGACTCCAGTTGGAGATCTAGAGGAGCATGACCGTGTTACTGCACTGCTGCGTAACCTCGGAGAGAGCCCTTCTCTTGGGCCTCAGTGGGCCGGGGTTGATAGGATCAGTGAGTGAGTTCTTAGAAATTGCCAGCCATGCTCGCTGCTCCCCATTCCAGGTCACATGGCTCAAACACACAAATAGATCTGAGAGCTGGAGTGTCCCGTGTGACCCTAGAGAGTGGGGAGAGAAGCAGGAACGTTGACACAAAGTCCCCTGTGACTCCCAAATCCAGTCCACAAGGAAAGCCAAGTGCATGCCCAGAAGATCTCCCCAGATACAACCAACCCCTTGTCGTAGGGTCAAAGTTCACAGCCCAGATCTGTCCCCAGCAAAGCAAACTGGCCCTGCAGCTGTCAGTCACTGGAATAGGAACAAAAGCAATTGGTCCCGAGGGCCAGGCCCCCAGGCAAGTCAGGAGCTGTCTGAAGGAGCTCCCCTGCCCCCCACTCCCCTGCTCTGGGGAGAATAAGGCCCTTTGTCCCCTACAGGCTCTTGTCTGGCTGGGGCTCTGAGCAGAGAGGGCAGCCTGGAGGGATTTTTAGAGCCCTTCAAATAGCTTTCCCAAGGGAAAAGGGCTGCAGGGGTGGCTGGGTGTCCGGATGGCTCTGGATTGGGGCAAGGCAAGCCTCATACTGCTGCAGAGCCAAGGTCCTGGGGCAGCAAAAGGATGGCCGTGGGTCTCTGAGACCTCTTGGTTCTTACCCCTTCCCTCCCCATCCTCTCTCCCTGCTTCCTGCGTGTCCCATCCTTGGTCTTCCTTCACTCCTGTCTCCTTCTGACCTCTTGCCTTGCTTCTTACCCCATGCTCACTGTCAGTCTGTCTGTCTTTGCAGGTACAGGCTATGGGTGGACAGCTGCTCCGAAATGTTCGGTGGCCTAGACATATGTGCTGTCAAGGCTGTCCACAGCAAGGATGGCAGAGATTATATCATCGAGGTGAGGAATGGAGCAGGGGGGTCCAGCCTGGACCATCCCAGCAGGAAAAACTCCAAGATGACCCCCAGCACGGCAGCCATGTCCTGGCTCCTGGCCTGCCACATGTAGCTCAGGGCACAGGGAGCCCCTCCCAGAGTGCTTCACACACCCACCTCAGCTGCAGCAACAGAGGGAGCCTTCCTGCTCAGCACTCTGACCTCAGAGTTCAGAACTCAGGGCACCATTTTTCCTAACATGTCAAGCTAAGCGTCCACAAGATTCTGTGCCCGTGTCCAGTGTCCTCGGTGTTGAAGGATATGACATGAATGCACTTCCTTTCCCACCATGCAAGGGTTCCATTCTTAAGTTCTTTCAACAAATGAAATTCTGAGGCAGCCTTGAACACAGCAGATACAGAATTTGCAAGAGAAGATAACAGAGAAGCAAAGGGACACCGTTGTACAGGGTGTGGCTGGAGGGACAGATGAATTCCAGAAATAGAGTTGTAAGAAATGTTCGCAGATGGGCACTGGGACCCAGAACCACTCGCTCCAAAGACTCTTCTGCAGCCATGCATCTCTCCATCCCGCAGTATCCTCTTCCCTCTACAACCCCTTCCTATCCTCCTCAGGGGCTCCCTCTCCTCTCCCCTCCCAGCCTCCAACAGTTCTGCAGCTTTAACCTAAAACATCCCTGCGGCCTCAGGGCTCCCCTCCACTCCCAGCTCCCAGCTCCATGGCCATGCATGGTCCTTTCAGCTCACTCCTTCTATGGGCCTCACTTCCCAACCTATCAGGGAGGAATGGGCTGACAACAGGCCCAGACACGTGAAGGGAGCCCTGCGGCCGCCCTCCCCTGCAGCTGCCTCTCCACGGGTGTGGGCTGCTACAGAGGCACGTGGCTGGGATGACCTCAGTAGCCAGCCAGTCCTCCAGCCCCGCATGTCTGCCCCACTGCCCGAGGACCAACAAGCAAACAGCACCAGGTAACTGAATGGGCAGAAGTGTGGAATGCAGGAAGGTGTACCACCAGGTCAGGAAAAGGCTGTCTTGGCAGTGGGAGCCCAGGACCAGAGACAGTCTCACTAGCTGGCCCCCCAGAAAGGTTGGATGCTACCGCCAGGTAAATGGGCATCTCTGTGCAGGCCTGCGTCCTCACCTCGAGTCAGAGGCCGCTTTTCCTCTGACCATTCCCAGAACAGATGTGAGTCAAGGGCCTCTTCACCTGGGACATCAACAGCTCCTGGCAAACCACCCAACACTGCCTTTCCTCGCTAGGACACTAGATATGACTGGTTGGGACTCACGCACACTCATTTCTTCACTCTGGGCACCAGGCTCTAAGCCAGATGAATGGGGCTCAGATGCATCAGCAGAGTAGGAGAGGGCTGCTATCCCATTAGGAGTGAGGCCCAGGGGTCAGGAGAGATGGCTTGTAGTCAAGAGCTCTCATTGCTCTCGCAGAGGACCTAGGTTTGATTCTCAGCATCCACATGGTGGCTCACAGCCATCCGGAATATGCACACACATACATACATGCAAGCAAAACACTCATACAAACCAAATAAATAAATCTTTAAAATGTGAAAAGAAGAACATGAAATGCTTCCCTCCTCTTTTGGTTCAGCACCACACACACACATACACACATACATACACACACATACACACACATACACACACATACAAACACATCATACACACACACATACACACATACATACACACACAGACACACACACATACACATACACACACACACATACACACACATACACACACACATACACACACATACACACACATACACATACACACACATACACACACATACACACACACATACACACACATACACACACACATATACACATACATACACACACATCACACACATGCATACATACACACACATACACACATACATGCATACATACACACACATACACATACACCACACACACACACATACACACACATACACACATACACACACATCACACATACACATACACAGACACACACATCACACACACACATCCATACACACATCACACACACACATACACACATACATGCATACATACACATACACACCACACACACATACACACACACATACACATACACACACACACACACACACACACACACACACACACACACACACACGCAAGCGAGCTCGGCTCTGAAATCCCTCCACTTCACAAAAAGCTGTCTATACCCAGAGGCTCCAGTTCCAGACACTTAGGGGCTGGGAGGAGGTCAGGAATAAAAGACACTTCACATTTAAAAACAAACAAACAAAAAAGCCACTTTGGGTCTTCTAAACACAAGAAAACAACTTTTCAAAAATGTTCCAGAAAAATCTCAAACAAATAAAAAAGATGGCTTTCAGATTTGGGGTTTTTTTCCTCAGAAACATTAGGGAATTGTTTTCCTTCGGGGTTTGGGATGGGATCAGGAAGAGAGGGAGCCTGTTCCTAGGAATAAAAAAAAAAAATGTATTTTTCCCAGTAAGGGGAGAGAGGCAGCAGAGATCCAAAAACACTGTCTCTCAGCCACCTCTGTGTGCGGGCACAGCGCTTGTGGGGCACATTCAGTGAGGGTGCTCAGGGGAAACACGCTGAACCTTGTCCTCTCTGACCTGGCCCAGGGGATGACCTTGCTCTCTGGGAAAAAATGTTTCCCTGGGGGGAGTGACCGTCCACTTCCTTTGGCTGTGTCCACTATGGGGACTCCAGGTCCTGACCTCAGGCTCTGTGTCGTGTCTGTTTTCCACTGCAGAGAATGTGGGGAACCGTCCAGGGCAAAGCAGCAGACAGGGCGGGAGGCAGAACCACAGGCCGGGTGCTGGGAGCCCAGGACCCTTGGGGACAGGCCTCAGGACAGTTGTAACTGCTGATGGAGACTGCCTGTGACCCAGGCAGGAGTTCCATTTAGGGACAGTTTACAGGACCTTCTGGGATCCATACCCATGCCCTGGTTTGTGTTTCAGTCCCCGAGACACACTGGGTGCTTGTACCCACAATTCCCTGAAAATTACAGCCAGGAGGGTCTTAGCAGCTGTCTGAACCCTTAGTTGATGAAAAGTATACCCAGAGAAGACAAGAGACTTCCCCCAGTACATCCATAGCAGAACACAGGCTTGGAACCAGGCTGCCTCATCCAAAGCCTTACCACAGAGCCACCCAGTGCTTGGTGAGAAGATCTCTGCTGCCCTAGAACTTCCCAGTCTGACCCTCGGTTTCATCACTCTGGTGAGGATAATCAGAATAACCATAAGCCTCAAAGATTGTTGTTGTTGTGAGATAGGGTCCCATGTAGCCCAGGCTGCCCTCAGATTCGATATGTAGGAAGACCTTGAACATCTCCTGCCCCTGCCTCCATCTCCGGAATGCTGGGGTTATAGTGCTGGGGATGAAAGTGAAGGCCCCAAACATGCTAAGAGAGCGCTCTACCAAAGAGCCACATCCCCGGCCAGCAAAGTGCTGCTCTAAGATGAGCTGACGTCATCTATACCTGGCTCTTAGAATACTGCCCCATATCTTACCAGTGCCCAGTGAAGCTGTACTGTCAGCGCCTTCCCAGGGTGAGCACAGGACACCCCTGACTCCCTGGGCTTCCAGATGGCAAACGATAATTCTGGGACTAAGCTCTCCAAAGGGACAGTCATGTGAGCTCCGCAAAGACACAGATACAGAGGGGCTCCTAGGAACTTGTGGGGTCCTGAAGGGGCTTCTGGAAGGGAGGGCTGACTAGGTATTTCATGATGGATAAGGAGTTGGCTAGGTGAGGGGTGGGTACAGAGAGTTGGGTACAGGATCTGGAAATGAGACTGTCTGATTACCCCAGAGCTGGGCACAGGGCAAAGACGGTTTGACGGGGTGAGGCAGGTGACAGACGAAGACTGGATTCCTGCAGGAGAGGAGAGAGGTAGCCAGCGCAGCTCTGTCACAGGTCTACCAAGACTGTCAGCTGACTGTGCCTAGTGATCACCTGGCCCACTGGCTCTCGTCTCTGAGCCTCAGTTTCCCCATCTATTATAAAAGTAGACTAAACCAACATGACCCCCCAGGACTGTCACCCCTCTTCCTTAAGAATAGCCTGGTTCTCAGGGAACGAGATTCATGTCGGGACTGCATCCTGCCGGGGCCCCAGAACAACTGTCTGTCCTCTTCTGTCTTCTCCATAAACCCTGGGTCACTTCCAGCCTGCGTCCAATTTTTGGTTGTTGTTGTTGTGATTGAGCCCCATTACTGTTCCCAGCTCTGAGGACATCGTCAACCTTAGGCCAGAAGACAGGGGGCCAGTCCCAACCCCAGGAGGAAGCTGGGGTGGGAAATGAGGGGGCGGAGACCGACGCCCCAAAGAAAAGTACAGAAAAGGTCAGCACGTGCTCCCCCGGCCCTGGTCACGTTGCTGGACTCCAGCATGTGGAGGCTGAGTTGAACTGAATCCAGAAGTCTGTTGGGAAGGAAACAGAACGGATGTCTACTGGGGACCCAGGCAGCAGGAAGAGCACAGCCGAGCTGTTTGCATGGAGGACAGTGCCATCTAGTGGTCATTCTGTTCTGAGCGCAGAGTCAACACTCCCAGAACAGGAAGCCCGAGGCCAAGCTGTCTTAATTCAGGTCCTTCAGCCTCCCTTTCCTCCCCCAGGTCATGGATAGTTCAATGCCCCTGATCGGAGAGCACGTAGAAGAGGACAAGCAGTTAATGGCCGACCTTGTTGTCTCCAAGATGAGCCAACTCCTGGTGCCAGGCAGCATGGTGCCCTCACCCCTGAGACCTTGGGTAAGGCTCCCTTGAGAACAAAGGAGATTAGTGGCTCCGGAATGAAAACCCCCAGGACCCAATGGAGATAACCCCAGGCAGAATGGGGTGGGGACAGGGGAGAGCCGGAGCCCTGCCCCCTTTCCCTATCCCCCAGGAAGAAAACTCCTGTCCCATCAGCCTTTGCACAGATTGTTGACAGTGTTGATTTCTGTGTCCCCGTCTTGGGCCTGAGCTTGGGTGTGTGCGCCTGTGTGTGCATGAATACATGTACACATGTGTCCTATGTCCCCGAGCACAGGTCAATAGAGACTATTGTGTCTCCTGCTTCCCCGCTCCCCAGCCCGACAAGCTCCCGCCCCTCCTCAGCAGAGGCCCCACCAGGGACTACCAGACCCTCTCCAAAGAATGTACCAGCTGGCCGGCCTTCTGGAAAAGCGAGTTGCAAATCCTCCTCCAACCCCAGTCCCGGCTTTTCCCACAGAGACTCTTCATCCCTTCATAGCCACGGAGATAGGAGTTAAACTCTAGGAGCTAGCAGGAGGGAGGGGCTTATGCAGCATCCTTCACGGCTGAAATCCATCATGAGGTCCACTGAAGAGTCATGCATCGGGGGTCTTACATCAGGGATATTTAAAAAACAAAAACGAAACTGTGTAAGGCCTTGACTTCCACCTGGAAACTGTCGCCACAGGCTTCCTTTCTCTTCTCTTGCTCTAGGGTCCACAAACTAAACTTGCAAAATCTCCTGGGCAAGGCCAGCTGGGTCCTCAGCTAGGACAGCCGCAGCCAAGGCCACCCCCCCAAGGTAAGACTCAGGACAGCTGCTGAGAAACACTGCATCAATGGGGACGTTGAAACGCTGTGCAGAGGGCTGGGGAGGTGGCTCAGCAGGTAAGAGCGCTTGCGGTACAAACCTGAGTTCAAATCCCCAGCACTCACGTAAATAAGCTGGCCACAGCCAAGCATGCCTGTAGCTCCAACCCTGGAGGAAGGGAGGAACAGGCAGCTCTTGGGAACCTGTTGACCAGCTAGTCTAGCGGGAATGGCAGGGTTTGGGTTCTCAACCTGTGGGTCATGGCCCCCCCTGGGGGTCACATATTGGATAACCTGCATATCAGCCATTTACATTACAGTTCATCACAGTAGCAAATTACAGTTATGAAGTAGCAATGGAATAATTTTATGCTTGAGAGTCACCACAACATGAAGAACTGTATTAAAGGGCCACAGCATAAGGAAGGCTGAGAACCACTGGTCTACAGGGAGTAAGGTAGGACCCAAGGGTGTGTGCATAGACACAGAGCGATTAAATAATAACTAAGTCAATAAAATGTGTTGCTGAAGACAGCCTAGAGCAGTGATTCTCAACCTTCCTAATGCTGTAGCCCTTTAATACACTTCCTCATGTTGTGGCGGCCCCCAACCATAAAATTACTTTCATTACTACTTCATAATTGTAATTTTGCTCCTGTTATGAATCATAATGTAAATATCTGTGTTTTCTGATGGTCTTAGGCAAACTTGGTGAAAGGGTCACTTGACAACCTCCAAGGCGTTGTGGTCTAGACATTCCATCCTGATACTTTCTCTTTGGGCTGTGCACACTCCTCCATCTGCAGGATGAGGAAGTTGGGAGGGCTGCTGTCCCCTTAAGGGCAGGGAAGGCCCTGTGCTGGGGCCATTCTCTTCTGTCCCCATTTCCATCCTCACATCCACTTTGCAGAGGAACCATCAGTGTATCCCTTTCCCCAAGTAGGAAACTGAAGCTTTGCCCAGAAGGCACAATGAACGATGGCAGGTTGTCAAGCCTGGACGCTCAAACCTTCTGGGAAATGTTATTTCCAGCCACTAGTGGTGCCTGAGTATACGTTTGTGAGCCAACCAGCCAGAGTGAGAAAGAGAAGAAGAAGAAGTCAGGACATTATACCCGCAACTGCTGCCATTCCTTCAGAGAATCATCCTGATCTACTCCAGAAGAGCCACGGCTTGTTAGAGGGTGGATTCGGGGTGGACGACAAGAGAGGGGAGAATCATGAGAATAGCTAAAGACTTGCTGGAGGAAGGTCACGTGTGGAGGGTTTCCCACGCACGGGCTCCAGGGGAACACCTGCCAAGCGAGTCCCTTGTAGCAGATCTGTGCTCAGCCTGGCTGCTCTGGGCCAGATCGGGCTTCAGAGCAGCTTGGCATGGAGATGCCCTCCTTACAATCTCGACAGAAGGCATTTCCATCCTGTCCTGAACTTTCTAGTCACATCTATTAAAGCGGCAGATTCATTGCTTCTTGGGAGAAATGGGCCCTGGGCACCAGATGGCTTCCTCTTCCACAGCTCTATGTGAAAGCGCCCTCCTCCTTCCCTCTCTCCCTCCATCCCTTTCAGCCTTCTCTCCTTCTTTCCTTTCCCCATTACTCCATTTACTTAACATAATCATCCAGGTTAGCTTACTTTCCCCTATAAATGCCTTTGAAATTGACTGCCCCAATATTCTCCAAATGTATACACAATAGTCAAAATTACATTTAACCACAGACTAAAAGTTACCATATTTGTGAAAATCCAGTTAGGTAGCATTTTAATTCTCAGTATCTGTGGTCAAATAGTCTTCTCAGAATATAACAAACAAGGCATGATGAGTCCCAGCACAAAAGAAACTGAGACAGGAGGATTGCTGTGAGTTTGAAGCTAGTCTGGACTACCAGGTGAATCAAATGCCAGGCCACCCTGGGTTACAGTATGAGATCCTGTCTCCAAAGAGGGAGTGGGAAGCTGCGGAGACAGCTTGGTGGGTGGGTGGGTGCCTTCCAAGCATGAGGGCATGACTGATCTCCAGTGCCCACCTTCCAAAACAACCAGCAAACTAGGTGCAACAGGAATCCTAGAGCTGGTGAGGTGGAGATGGAGGGAATCTGAGGCTAGTTTGCCAACTAGCCCACTCGGAGAGTTTCAGTGTCAAAAAAAGGACAGAGGTTGACCTCTCACCTTCACATGCAGGTTGGTACCTGTGCATACAGATGTATACACACACACACACACACACACACACACACACACACACACACACACA